GTATATACTCTTCTAGAATAGATGTCTCACATATTAGTAAATATAAATACAAATTTCCTTAAATGTAAAGAAAGCAAGAAAAATTCCATCATTTCATTACAAAATAATTAAATAATATAGCGATATGATAATATAATATGGTAACATAATAATCGTGGAATAGTAAAAAATACGTTGCCAATCATTATATCAAAGACATTTTCCATTAGAATATGTCAGTAAAAGAGTAAACAAATTTGTAATTGTAAGAACTAACGTATTTTATATTAAAATTGGAAAAAATCTATTCATATTATCCATAAATTATCATACATGAAATTTTTCGTAAAGCATATATTTTTTTTAGAATATTTCATCACCAATAATTAATATCCAAATATCGGTTCATATATTATGTTGTGATATAAATAACTTATGAAATCATAAAATAAAAGTTGTACTTACAAATTGTAAAATCACTAGTTGGATCATCCAAATAATTTTTTATAAAATCATATATCATTTGTACTGTTTCTGTTGGCTGGAATATACCTTGAAGCACAAACTGGTCTGGAAATTGTACACGGATTATGGTTTGGTAGTACTTGTTTAATTTAGTTGATATCACTTTTTCGTGATTTGATTCGCGCAGGTCATTTGTTAAAAGAGGAGCTTCTTCTAACTCTTCTCTACGACGTTTAGCATCTCGTAGTAATACTTTTGCATCTTCCATAGTTACATCATAAAAACTGTCAGGGAATTCATCTCTAGATAATGCTTGAACCATAGCCTGATTAAATGCCAAAGCATTCCTTTCACCTAACTGTAATGAAGAATTATAAACACTGTTATAACATGTAGTACAGAAACTGATGTTCAAACATATGAGGGCATCTTTTTGAGTTATAAGACTTGTGGTTTTAAGTGACAAAAGTTATCATCGCAAGTGGAAATGTTTTGCATTGTTTTTTGATCTTTACTGTACAGTTTTTGACTAGAAATATACTAAATTATAAAACACTATTGAGAATATTCACATATCAAGAGATGTAATTATCTACCACCATTGTTACACGTTTAATTCTTAATAATTTGAAAATAGTTTATCTTCATCAATAATTTTTTCTTTTTGTTAAAAGTCATTTTCAATAATCTTTTCAAGTCAAAATACAATCATTTTTTCGGTTTTAAAAGTAGCAAAATAGACTACCAAAGTTTAATCACCTATTTCACGATTAAACTGTATTTATTAGTTTAATACTGGCTAATAAGAATACTTGATTAAGATATTCCAACAATGGTGATCTTCAATATTCTCTATATGCATAACACTAAAAAGACTTACAAAGTGTATTTCATGTGTATCGATTTCTTCATCTTTGGTGTCTATATTACTATCGATGGGATCATTTGCACTTGTTGATGATGTTAACTCATTTTCTCTTGTCATAGAAGCTTTACTTTCTTTACTTTCTTTCACAACTATAGAATCTACTGTTTTATTAACTTTCATACAAGATTCGATTTTATTATTTTGATCACTTGTTTCAGCATTCTTACAAGTTGGAGCATTTATTTCTTCAGGATTTCGATATAATAATCGTAATACAGCTTTACCATGTGTAAGTCCTAACAACATCAAAGTTGTATCCTTCAAAGCTTGTGTTCCAAAAACCTGAAAATTAATATTGTACAGTGCAAGTCATGATCTACATACA